AAGAGATCCTTCAGGTTGGACAAAATGTGGGAAACAAATCTGGACTACGATTTGTGGAAGCAAAGAAATCTGGTACAGATAAGAAGATCAGGCCTGATAAACAAATGTCAAAGCAGATGTCTCAACACAAATCTCAACATCAGAAACAAAAATATATGAAGAAAAAGTACCAAAGATGGAGATGTCATCATTGTGGGAGGTATGGACACATAAAGCCCTTCTGCTTCAAATTGCATGGATACCCTAATCAAAACTCAGGTGTTAAACCTAAGTCAAAAAGGGTACCACATACTCCTCAATGGAAGAAAAAGGCTACTGCCCTGATAGCCCACACTTCCCTGAGAGTGTCTGCAAAGGAAGGCTGGTACTTTGACTGTGGGTGTTCTAAACACATGACTGGAATAAAGAACATTCTCAATCATGTTAAACCTCACAACACTAGTTATGTGACCTTTGGAGATGGTGCTAAAGGTGAAATCAAAGGAGTTGGTAATTTGGACTGCCCTGGAGTTCCAAGTCTGAGTGAAGTACTGCTGGTAAAAGGGCTGACTGCTAATCTCATTAGTATCAGTCAATTGTGTGATCTAGGATTCAAGGTCAACTTCTCAAAATCTGAATGTCTAGTAATTAATGAAAAACTAGAAGTTGTAATGAAAGGAATCAGATCCAAAGATAACTGTTACTTGTGGCAGCCTGAGAACACTAATAACTCCACTATGTGTCCAATTACCAAAGAAGAAAAAGAGATGAAACTGTGGCACCATAAGCTTGGTCATCTTCATCTAAGAAGAATGAAAAGAGCTATCTCTATGGAAGCAGTCAGAAGGACTCCAAAACTACAGATTGATAAAAGAAGGGTTTGTGGTGAACTTAAAATTGAAAGGCTTGGTAAAAAGAAACATGTCTATGATGTGGTGAATAAACTTGAAGAAGGATGTGTTGTCAGAACCAGAAGTAATCATGACAAGGATTTTGGAAACAACAAGTCTAATAAATTCTGTTTCCCAGAAGAAATGAGTCGTGAAGTCTCTTCTCCTATAACTCACCATCAAAATGGAGTTGACAAAAAGAAAAATAAGATCATTCAAGAATCAACCAGAACTATGATTCATGTCAAAAGAATGCCTTCCCAACTCTGTGCTGAAATGGTTGCAGCTAGTAGTAACTGTTCTCAAAATATCTGGACAAAACAGATGCTCACTGAGTATAATGTCTCACAAGATGTTGTGACATTGTATTGTGACAATCTGAATATAATCAATATTTCCATGAACCCTATTCAACATAGCAGGACCAAGCACATTGACTTTGTAGGAGAAGTCAATTAAACTGGAACATGGTATCATTAAGCTTCAGCTGGCTGATTCTTCTACCAAGGCTCTTGTTGGAAATAAACTTGAAAACTTGAGGGGCAGGTTGGGTATTTGCCAACATGAGAAATTATAGCAATTAATTTTGCTTAAAACAAGGGTTGAAGGAGTTAATTTTGTTAAGTCTATTTTTAGTGGGTTAATCATATGTTTTCCCAATTCTTTCAAAATCTTTAAGAAGTTGAAAAGACTCTCTTTTGCCTCCTACCTCTCTCGACTTTGCAACCTGTTCCCTTCTCTCAATCAAAGTTTTCTCTCAAATTGCTACTGGTGTTCTAAGTCAATCAAAATGTCTCAAACATCATCTTCAACCAAGGCGACCTCTTCATCTTCATCATCTGACCAAGACTCTCGAGCAATCACCACATGCATAGAATCTGAAGTCCTTGAGATCACTCCTCTCAGAGAGATGGCAACTGACCCCGCCAAAGTCAAAAAGCTGAGAACTAGGCATGCAGGAAGAGCTCAAGATGCTGCCTCTGGTAATCCTTCTCATCCTTCTTCTTCTGTTCCAAATAGAGAAGGATCAGTTCAAGTTCATCAAGCTATTGCTAGGCTTGTTACTAGTATACTAAGCGGAAACCAACCTGTACCGGGGATTTCTGTCCCATTAAATCAAGAATCAGCAAGCCCAAATGTAGATGTCTCTGAGAATGTTGTGACACAAAATGACAACATTCAGAACCCTTCAGAGAAGACTGTTGATCCACCTATCATTGATGTGGATGAGGAATACTCAGACAATGATCTGATTGCCAATGTAAACCCTAGCATAGCTAGGAGAATGATGAAAAGGAAGGATAATCAGAATGCTGGAAAATGTATGACAAAAGATAAACCTGCTAATAAGAAATCCAAGGTTGAAGGCATGGCTGGGGTAGAATCTGTGAAAACTGTTCAGTCTAAAGGGAAGGTGAAAGCCCAGGTGCATACTGGTAGACAACCAATTACAAAGAAGAGAAAAGAACCTGAATCTTCTGATTCTGATGAGGAATCAGAGTTTGAGATTGATGCTAAAGAAATTCCTATCAGAAGGAAGCTCCCCTCCAGCAAAATTGCTAGAGTTCCTGAAGTCCCAACAGACAACATCTCTTTTCATCATCCTGACAATGCAAACAGATGGAAGTATGTTTGATTGAAGAGAATAGCTTTAGAAAGAGAGCTAAACAATGATGCCATGGAGTGCAAGGACATCATGGACCTGATTAAGAATGCTGGACTGATGAAGACAGTGGTAAAATTTACCAAGTGTTATGAAAATCTGGTCAAGGAGTTCATAGTTAACTTGTCTAATGAGTGTGCTGATGGAAGGTCAGCTGACTTTGAAAGTGTTTATGTTAGAGGAAGAAGGGTTAATTTCTCTCCATCAGAAATTAACAAATTTCTTGGAAGATCAAATGAGGATTGTCCTGAACTGGAAGTCACTGACAATGATGTTTGTCAAACCATCACAGCAAAACAAGTGAAGTGCTGGCCCTTGAAAGGCAAGCTGAATGCCAGCAAACTTAGCATGAAATTTGCCATCCTGCACAAGATTGGTGCAGCCAACTGGGTCCCTACAAACCATAAATCAACTATCTCCACAGGATTGGGGAGATTTATTTATGCTGTGGGAACCAAGACTACTTTTGACTATGGCAGGTATGTCTTTGAACAAACTTTAAAACATGCTGGTAGTTATGCTGTCAAAGGACCAATTGCCTTTCCCTCCCTCCTTTGTGGAATTATCCTTGCACAATACCCTGATATCCTGGTGGCAAGAGATACTACTTGCAAAAGAGCTCCTGCTCTTGGGTTACACTACAAGCTATTTCAGGGATCTCATGCTCCTGATATTGTCATAACATCAGCTGAGACATCATCTGTAAAGACTCAGTCCAAAACATTTGATGTTATAGCTGTATTGAAAGAGACCTGCAAAGAGCTGGAAGCTAGGAAAAAGACCCTAGAAAACCTAATTGCCAGGTTAGAAAAGGAGGAAGCTGAAGGAAACAGAAGGGAAGAGGGTGCAGAAGCTGAAGATCATCAACTCAATACTGAAGAAACTAGCTCCTCTGATGATGACAGTGCTTAAAGGTTGGTGGAGTTGCTGGTTGGTGGTGTTGCTGGTCCCTGGTGGAGTTTGCAAAGTGTGTTCAGTTTTTTGTCTTGTTGTGTTACTTTTTCTGGATGACTGTATAATCTTTAAGAACATGTATCTTTGGCCCATTTGTGGCTAAAGAGGGGGAGATATATTTTGGTAGACTTTATTTGACATTCCATTTTTCTGCAGTCATATTTATTCTGCTGCTATCTATCTCTGATTGCTTAGGGGCTTTAGTCAAAAATCTGCCAAAGGGGAAGTTTGTAGTTGTTTAGGTATTGGCATGCATTTTTGGTAAAACCAGGTGTATGAATGTCATGACTGATGTCATAACATTCTAGTTTATTAGGTACAGATTTATTAGGTACCTTTGTAGAAAAATATTGTCATACAGGTACTGATGTTTATGAGTGTGTATCTGAGCATTTTGCAAAATGATCACATTTACCAAAATCAGTAAACAGGAATTCAGATGTCATAACAAATGTTAAGACATCCTGTTCTGAACTAACAGGTATGCAGTTTGGTTAATTCTGAGTTTTTTCAGGAAAATGACTCAGTCTTTCCAGAACAGAATCCTGCATTTTCTTTGGGTTAACCTAGCTCAACCCCAACCTGGTTGATATAGTCCTGTGACCTAGTCTTAAGGACAAACGGGATTAACCCTAACTTTTTGTGGAAACCCTAACTGAAGATGCAGCTGCTATATATTCAACAGGGCTGCTGTTTTGAATGTATTCCCTTTTTGACAGAAGATCATTTAGAAGCTGTATAGTTTTAACTATTGTAATCCAAGCAATTATCATTGTGATAAGTGACTTGAAATAGGTTTTAATTGTAAGGATTGTGTGTCACTCAAAGCTTTGAAGCAAGAGTGTTTTTGTGTCTCTTGACTAAAGCTTTGAAGCAAAGTCAAGTTAGGTTTATGTATCACTCAAAGATGTGAAGCAAGAGTGTTTGTGTTGCTTGATTAAAAAGCTGTGAAGCATAATCAAGTGTATGTTTTGAAGAGTGTCTTCATCAATTCATTAGTCAAATTGTTTTAAGTATCACTGCTGTGATTGAGGGGGAGTGAGTAGGAACTCAGGTTTAAGTTGTACTTAGATTGAAGTTGCATTGGGTAGGTCTTAAGTGAAGGAGATAAACTGGTTGGTTTATTCCTGAATTAATATCTCTTATAGTGGATTTCCTCCCTGGCTTGGTAGCCCCCAGAGTAGGTGTTGTTGCACACTGAACTGGGTAAACAATTGACTGTGTTCTTTACTGTTTTTGTATTTACTGTCTTATAGAAAGTCAGATACGGTGTCATAACATTGAACGTGACATTGAGTATCTGCAGCCAGAATTTCAAACTTATTAGAAATAAAAAAAATATATTAAACCTTGATAATAATATTGACTAAAATTGGATTGAGTAATTAAATATGTGACTCATCAGATGACGTGGCATGTGTGAACCAAATGATAAGCCATCCAAAGAGGCGGTTGTTGATTCAGACAAATTCAACAAATTTATTCTATTATTCAGTTATTATTCCACTCACGCCATGCCTATTACTCTGCTAACTCCTCCAAATACCCCTATCTTATCGTATAATTCCAATCTTATCCCTACTCGTGTTTCACAATCTCGCCACCGCGCACCTCAACGTTCTTCTCATTCACTTCGCATCTCTTCTTCTTCAACCGCATCTGGTACACTTCCTTTTCTCTCTCGCTTCCATTTTCTTCGCTTCTGTTATGTACGTGAATTCTCATACACGTTTTCGATGCTCTTCGCTTCAAATTCATCTTCGACGATCTAGTTTTTTCGATGCTTCTGTGAGGAATTGTTTGTTTTCGGTTGTTATGTAGAAATAGTACGCGATTGATTTTTTACATGCTTCGTTTTCTTCGTTCTGTGATTCTTTCATTCATTTTTCTTTACATTAATCTGTCTTATTCTTTTCAGCATGAAGTTTTGTTGTATCGACGTTAATTACTATTGAATCAAAATCTTGCAATCTCATTGTGATTAATTGAAGCGAGATTAGGCTTGAAGCTTAATCTTCGTTGTGTAGGACAGGTCAATATCGCGATTGCATTTACTAGAAATATACATCAAAAGAAAATATTGGTGGAAAAACGGAGGAAATAGTAAGTTATAAGTATATTAAAAAATTCTAACCTAATAAAAATAAGTTATAAACTCAAGACCGCAAAATTTAAGTGACTTGTTTCCTTCACATATACTAAGATAAGAAGATAAGAGGAGTGTTAGGAACACCCGCGTTTCTTAAAATCATAAAAGGAAAAAGAATAATAATTTTACCATATTAACCTTATCAAGTATTGTTGATCCATGTCATAGATTCGACAAAATTTTACGTTGCCGGTTGACTCTCTCCTTTTATTCGGGCTTAGGACCGGCTATGCATAGCAAAGCTAACAATGGCGGGTTAAGAATCAATACGAGAATAAAGCACGTGTAAATATAGATGTTGTGTTGGATGTATGGTAAGGCTACACATGATAATATTAGAAATAGCAATATAAGAGAGTGTGTTGGGGTAACACCTAAGAATATTACGGCGAAAGTTGATTCATGTAGCCGATTACACTTACTGAGATGAAATAAGGCTTGGTTGTTGTTGTTGTAACCTTATCAAGTATTGTTGGTATTTTCCATGGCGGGCAATGAAAGCGAAAAAGACCTGGGAGTGATGCATAAAATAATAATTATTTATATAGTACAATTAATAACTTGTTTTATGAAAATGTATCACTTATTGTTAGATGGAGGGGGTAATCAACAAACTTATGTTGTGTGCTTTTAGAGCTATATTGTTCATGAAGACAATATATGGGCGTGCAGTTTTGCTTTTACACAGTATACTAGTTTGATGATGAACTTTGGCAGTCACCCTTTCTTTTCGGCTTTTCTTTCCTGTCTCTGTAGATATGGATTCTACCTCGGGTCAAGGCATTCTTTATCCGTTGCACCGTACTAAAACTCTTCACCTGGTTTGTGGCAACTTTAGCTTTGTGCATTGGAGTATGTTATGTTTTAGTTATTGAGAAGATCATTTGCTTAATTTCAATAGTATTGTCAACTGTGAACTTATCCAATCTTGTATACAGGTTAGGCATGCCCAAGGGTTTCACAATGTTGAAGGAGACAAGGACCCTAAGGCGTACTTATCTTATGATCTTTTTGATGCAAGCCTGACTCCTCTCGGCTGGAAACAGGTAATTGCTGTGTAATGTAGAATCTCCCAGTTAATAAGAAAAATGCTTCAGACTTTCTGTAGCGATTGGTATCAGCATTATGCCTCAGTAGTAGTATATCTTCACTTTGTTTCTCATGAGAGAAATTTTTCTTGGTGATCATCTCATTGTATTATAGTTCTCTCTCTAGCTGGTTCTTTCCCTCGATTTTTCAGGTTAATTTTTTAAATCATGGTAATATATTTGTTGCTCTATATGACAGGTTGATAATCTGAGAGAGCATGTTAAGGGAAGCGGTCTTTCCGAAAAAATTGAACTAGTTATTGTTTCCCCCTTGTTAAGGTATAGTATAGTTTGATTGTAATCTGGGATTCCCATAGTTTTGGTACTAGTCGCATTTTGTCGAGATTTGTTACTGATAGGCGATGTGAATTGAAAGAAGAAATGTTATAATGTAAAATTGTAGAAAAAGTCCTTTACAAATCAGGAAAAATGTCTCATAATATTTTACTAATTGTCCTAGGATGAATGAAACTCTGAAGTTTCTGCTGTTGCCTACTTTATGACTTTTATTGACAAAAATCTAACAGAGCACAAATATTCAGAGAAAATGTCTCATATTATGTAATCTTGTCGGATCAAAGTGATATTTTCACACAATGTTTATTTTTTTGCAAATCAGCAAACAAACAAGAGTGTTCCGCTAGATTTATTTTTCCTTAAAGTGCAGGTTGGGTGAGGGGGTTATTCAAATTGCTAGATATTTTATTTCAGGACCATGCAAACAGCAGTTGGAGTCTTTGGTGGTGGGGAATGCTCTGATGTGATTGATGCCACCCCTCTGATGAATCACAATGTGGGGAATAGCAGTCGTTCTGCAATTTCTAATCAGAATTCGCCGCCATTTACAGCAGTAGAGCTTTGCAGAGAGCATTTGGTATGTGATAATGAAGATTTTGTTGCTTTGGAATAAGGAATCTGGGCTATTGTGTCAACTAATTACGTCAATCATCCATTTGTTTTCTTGATTATTCTGGAAAATGATGTCATATCCTGTTTGATCATTTACTATTTGTTTCTTGAATTTAATAGAAAACATTATATCGGTTTATCGAGAGCTGCGTTAAGATAATATTTCCCAGTCCCTTACTTTGAACTCCTTAATCCAATTCTTTTTACTTTATTTTATCTTCAAATGAGATTTGCAAATCATGTTAAATAGTTTCAGTTCCAAGGTTGTTGGTTCTGTGTAGGATAAAGACATGGGGTGTGTGTTGGGATCCCACATTAACTATAAATATAGTCAAAGTAGTTCTGATAAGGCTTATGCAATTCTCAGTTTCTCACCACTTGAGTTAGATTTTGGATTTGAGTTTGGGCCATTTCAAATTCTAAGATGGTATCGAAGTCTACCCAAATTTGATATTGGCCCACCTGCAAACTACGAGTTTCTGACTAGATATATTTTCCTTTCTTTTCCTATTGAACAATGGAACGACATGATTGGTTTTCAGAAATTTTGGGGGCTATTATGGGCTTTTGTAGTGATGGGTTTGTCATTTGAGAGGGTAGTAAGAGACTTAAGTTCCACTTTTGGTAGAAAAAGCTCCCTCTTGTAGAGCTTTGTCAAAAGCTCTTCATTTGTGTATATGCACAAAATAAGCTACTTTTGTTTTACCAAGAGATTCTAAAAATATTGTTTGGCCCAACTTCTACTTTAAAGAAGTAGAGAAGTCCAAAATAAGCTGGCCCCAACTTCTACTGATTTCCAAAGATTTTCCTTATTTTCTGTCAGTTGGTTTCTATCATGTAGCTATAATTAAATTAGGTTATGATGAGTAGAGAGAAGTTTCAATATTGAATGGATACTATATTTTATTATTTATAAAAGAATGGCATTGTATTAAACTTAGTTTCTGTGTTATGCTTTTTTTGGGGGTAATTTAGGGGGTGCATCCTTGTGATAAGAGAAGGGACATCACTGAGTACAAGAATATGTTTCCAGCAATTGATTTTTCACTGGTAAGTGATCTATTTTGATTAGCTCAAAAATAGCTACGGTATGATTGATATTTGGTTAGACAGGACTCATGCTTTGTATGAACTATGTTTAGGTAGAGTCTGATGACGACATCTTGTGGAAACCTGATATTAGAGAGAAGAATGAAGAAGTTGCTGCCAGAGGACTGAAATTTTTGGAATGGTGAGTCTGCCATGTTTCATGTTGGTGACTATGCATATTTAATAAGACTGTTATTGAAAAAGAAATAGGGAGAGCCAAAGGATTTTGAGCATACTGAAAAAAAGGTCCACATTACTATGATCGAGATTTCACCTGATCTTTTTAATTGGTTGAAAAGGATGATTTTTCTACCATTTTGCATTTACTATGATAATGTTAAGAAATCCAGACTATGCCTATGGTTTCCCAATTTGGTTTTTATTTTTCTAGTGCATTGCACAGCATCTGAAACAGATAGTTATATTAGTCTCTACTATGATTATATCTATTCTATTCATATTTCTGTCTTGATCCAGGTTGTGGACACGTAAAGAAAAAGAGATTGCTGTTGTTACTCACAGTGGTTTTCTATTTCATACTTTAAGTGCTTTTGGAAATGATTGTCATCCAAATGTGAAGAGTGAAATCTGCACACAGTAAGTATTCATCTAAAAGTAATGTCTTGTCTTACAATGTTCAAAAAATTGAACCGGCCAGTTCAACTAGTTGAACCTTGAACCCACATTGTCTATAATTTGAATGTCTCTCTGGTTCGATGTACTGTTCAGTATTTAAAATTCGGTTTTTTATGAATTCAAATTTGGAGATATATGACAGAATTAATAATAAAGAAGCTTTGTTAAATTTTGCCTCTCTTTTTCAACAGCTTTGCTAATTGTGAGCTGCGTTCAGTGGTTATCATCGATAGAGGGTGAGCATCTTATTTACACAGAACAACGGATACTCAAGCTTCTGCAGAAAATTTAGTTTCTGAGTTTTCATTTTGCAGGATGATTGGATCAAATGAGTCCTCTACCAACTATCCTGGCAAAATTCCAGACGGCCTTGACCTTCCCAGTGATGTTGTTGACGAGAAACATTCTGCGAATGAGCCAACAAAGTAACATGAGGAGATTTTCTCCAGTTATATGATTTCTGCAAAGAAAGCTAGGTGTCAACTTTTCAAGATGATGAAGACAACTATTGCTCCAATTTAACATTCATTAATGGCCATTGATTTTTACATGCAAATATTAGATATGTTCTTTTACTTTTCCAGTTCCCTTCCCGTTTTTCTCATGATACATTTTCACCTCTGACCCTTCTTTCACCTTAGAAAGAAAGGATCTTTGTGAAATTCTTTATGGTAGCCAAAAAAAGCGACCAAATTCAGAACCATGGTAAAAGTAGTTTTAAAACTGTTACTCATTTGAAATTTGATTGTGAATCCGTTATTATTTGAAATTTCAAGCAAATGAAGTGATATAGAATGGAATGGAATAAAATGTTATTGTTTGGACTAGTCAAATTCAAATAGAGCAGACCGGAATGAAGTAAGATCTATTCCATTCTATTCTGTTACTTAACAGTTAACTCCATTTTTCTTCCTCTCTCTCTCCGATTTGAGTAGAATGAAAAATTCCTGTGTTCTGTTGTAAAATGTCTATTAAAACCTTCATTCTATTCCATTTTGCTGTTATTTTTTCTTTTATTCGCCTTTTTTTATGCTTTAGTTTTAAAATATTCAAACATTAAGAAAGTCTTAATGACATGTCAATATAAATGGCTTAATTTGCAAATTAACTTTGTAGTTTCTTAAATTAAAAGAATGCCGGTGTAACATTCCAAAATATTGTACAAATTGTTGTTTGATTTATATTTATTCATAGATTTTATGTATATGTTAACATGTGTTTTAAGGGTAAATGTTATTATAATTAATTTTTTTAAAATATAATAAAGTTATATTTAAAATTTTAAAAAATTGGATGTAGGCATTCTAAAAGGATATTGCTATAAATAGTTTCTTAACATATTAGGACACATACATTTTTCTTATTCTATAAATGATTATTTTGATAAATTATTAATATCTTTATTAATTATATTCATTATTTTAATTATTTGTTTAGAAGATATTTCTTCTAAATAAGTTGTGATTTAAAATTCAATCAATGTAGTTTTAATTAATTAATTATAATCACATAGTTTAATTATTTAAATTGGGTAAGTTAGTGGGACTAGGTAGAAACTTTGTCTACTGAAGTTGAAAATTTAAACAATTTTGGTTATATATATATATATATATATATATATATATATATATATATATATATATATATATATATATATATATATATATATATATATATATATATATATATATATATATATATATATATATATATATATATATATATATATATATATTTTATATTGGTGCCTCTAAAAAGCGGGTGCCCTGTGCCACCCCTCCTCTCGAGCAACATCCGGAAATCCCTGCACCACATCCTATTTATTTGATTTTTTTTTCTTTTTTTCATTAGATATTTATTTTTAAAAAAATTAAAATAATTAATGATGTTTTCTATATTATTGAAGTCACCTTTAATAATTAATTAATTTGCTCTGATCAGAATGGATTGTCAAAGCTCACAAGCTTCAAGTCGAACAACAGTTGAAAGTGAAGTGAGAGATATCTGCAAGACACTCTGATGTTAAAGTGAGGTTCAGAGCAAATGCAAGCAAGTATGAGAATATGAGAGAGATTGAATACCTGACCCTCTCAAGTGAGAAGGTATTTATAGTTCCCAGTGCTGGGTCAAGATTCCCATTGCTGGGCTTAGCAAGTAGGCCCAAAATAGAGACTTTCAGGTCCTACGTGCATTGTGGGGGCAAGTACGTGGTCTCCAATCTGGATGGATTCCTCCGAACTATCAAGAGAATATGGACGCGGTCTTTTCGGGATCAAGAAGACTCTGTGATATTCAGAGGTGTCGAGTGTCAGCCCTACGAGGATGATGCTCACGAAGTCCATCTGACTGTTGTTGACCCTCCTCGTCAGTTGTGAGGTTGTCCCCGGAGGACTTGTCTGGTCGACGAGAAGAATGGACGATGCACGCGAGGAACTCCCGAGGGGCATTGGTTCTCCTCGCCATTCATGGGTTATCCCTGTAGGGCAAAGTCAGGTCGACAAAAAGAGTGGAGTTACTGCTCGACATGGTCAAGAGAAGAATCTTCCTGCTGGCCTTCTCATGTAGCGTAGTTGAATTGGGCCTTGTATGATGTTTGGATCAAGTGTAAACCCAGTCCAGAACAGGAGCCCCCAAGTCGTTGCTCTTGACTAAAAAGGAGTTATGACTTAAAACCACCTTCTCCGTATGGCGAGCACAACTTAGCCGGGGTTTCTCACCGAGACGAAGGATGGGGTCATTTTTATGTGTGGTCACTCGAGCGGAGATTGAAGTTTTCTTCATGGAGGATATTTCAGTTGTTCCTCGACTCGCGGGGTGATGGAGTTCGGAGTATGTTTACCTCGTAAGCTATGTGGTATAGCTTTTAGTTGTGACTATTTGAATAGAGATTGAAGTTCGTGCACAGAGAAAGATTATCGACTCCTCGACTTGCAGGGAGACGAAAGTCTGCAGGATGTAGCCATGTGGTCTGACCTTTGGAATAGAATGATGTCCTAGGGAGTAGGGGTCATTATGACCCTGAGCGCGTAGGTGGAAAGGAGAGGGGCGGTTGGCGTGTTGTTTGACGCGATGCTTCGTCTTTCGTGTCAGCCTTATAAATAGCACCTTAGGGTTCATTTGCAACATTTCTAACTCTTGCTCCCTCCTTTCTCCCTATCGTTTTTAGTTTTCCATCATCTTCTATCTCCTTCTCCAATCGCAAACGTCGTCGCAACCTCAGTCGTGGACTTCTCACCGACTTTAATCAAGTAAGTTTTTTCCAGTAATTATTGTCATTTATGGTTGGTTTTTTCGATAAATCTTCGATGCGGTTCAATACCCAGGGGAATTTTGCTCGGGATATTCATATGTATCTTCGTGATATTCGTGAAATGGCCCATGAAATTCATCTGTTCCCCGCATAATTCATGAAAATGCTCGGGGAATTCATCCTATTCCCCGTGAAACTCGTGAAACTGCTCGGGGAATTCATCTTATCCCCGCGGAACTCATGAAACTGCTTGGGGAATTCATCTTATCCTCGTCGTCGCCTTCACGAAGTTGCTCGAGGGATGTATACTCTCGTTGCGGCGTTTCACAAGTATGTTTTAATTTTTAGTGAATGAGGGTTCATCGACCTGGTTTCGTTATAGCATCCCCCTTTCACTTGTGTTGCGGTGGAAGGGTAGATTTGATTTAGCTGTCGAATTCACTGATTTCCTCTGCTTTACAAGTGAAATGGCCGAACCCAATGAGTCATCCGAGAAGATCAAGGTAGAAGAAATAAGTGGAGCCGGCGAGGGTGTCCAATTAATCAACAAGATCGTTGATCCGTCATTATCTTGGGTTGGGCTAGAACCCTGTGGGATAGCCTCGGTCTTTAGCTATACTAGAAGGGAGGCGTATACCATTGTTGAGTATGGTGGCAACCAAGAGGGTTTCCGTCAGAACTTCACGATCCTGCAGCTGAAGCTTACGGCCAGGATATGCTCGTCTTTCAAGGAAGACCATTTCCCCATGTACGAGGTCGTCTTCAGGGGTTTGGGACTTCGTCTACCCTTTAGTGAATTTCAGATGGGTGTGTTCAATCATTTGAACTTGGCGCCTTCCCAACTGCATCCCAATGTGGCTACTTTTATACGAGCTTTCGAAATTACTTGTCGGTACTTGAGGATCGGGGTGACGATTCCCTTGTTCTTCAAGATTTTCCATCTTCAACATCAATCTAAGGGAGGTAAACATAGTCGGGTTTCTTTCAAACAGTCAAAGAGGCTGTTCCAGATGTACATGAATTTTGTACGCACATTAAAGGATAAATGGTACGTTGTGCAGCCTTCGTCTCAAGAGGCTGTGGATGTGGTGTTCGACCTGGTTTCTCTCGTGGATGAAGATGGGAAATGTGCTATGACAAGGATTGGAATGAAGAGATTGGGAGGCTCTCGAAGTTCCCTATCCATTAGTGCCAAGGTCACTATGAGCATGACCTTGGCCATTACTATACCCTTGCTGGCAGCATGAGTACCGAGGATGAAGGAGCCTTTGGTGTTCTCAACAAGTTCGTCGACAGTTTCTTTCCCTCGAGGTGGGTGATGACGGAAGGAGGTGATGTTCTCGATGAAGAAAACAAACCTTCGCTCTAGGCGTGCTCGATCAATACTAAGGAGCTTGTTGAGTGTCGTACCTATGGGAAAGTCATTACTCTTCTAGGTCTCTATCTGCGTGACTCTATTGCATTCTGTTTTTTAACTTATTTTGGGTATTGTGATATGGTGAGAGAACTGACTTGAGGTTTTACGTTTGTGTTCGCAAATGTTTCGGTTTAGCAAGAGTCGCCATCGACTTTTTATTTTATCCAAAGGAAAGGTCAAAAAGCACGGGAAAGACCTTTGAGATGTTTTCTTGGGTTCGAGGGGTAGATTATGAAAAGGGAAGGTGCTAGCACCCTTTTCATCCATGGTTTTCCATGGGCTCTTAGTTACTTGTTTAGATCACTTGCTTTGCTTTTTCAATTGTTTGAAATGGTGCTTTGTGTGGTTTTGAAAGTATTTTGAAAAGAGGCCATCGTTTTGGCAACATTTGTAATGATTCTTGTTTGAAGAATGTATACAAAGATGTATGTCTTTTGAAAAATGTTTCAATGTTTGAAATTTTATTTTGGGAAATTATTTTGAAATTGTGTGTGTGTTTTTGAAATTAGCAAGGATGTTTTCAAATTTGATCAAGTAACTAGGAGTTGTCTACCCTACTCAAAGATTTTTTTTGTACATTTTCAACCCTTTGACATTGTTGTTTTACCATTGTATTAGGTAAACAACCTTGTATTTAGATGTTAAACGGAACGAGCGTGGGTCATCGTATGATCATGATAACAATGGTTCCAAGTATCTTAGCAAGTTTTTGGGACTAAGATCATTTGTTTTTTTAGGCAACATTTTGAAAGCGTCATCGAG